TCAGCGCGTCTACTGCGACGAGGTTACTCCTCCTACATCATGTCCGTCCTTTCAAAGCTGCAATCGGCCCTGACTTCATTTTCATGGATGACAATGCGCGACCGCATCGAACAGCACAGGTGGAGGAGCTTCTAGAACGAGAGGATATCCGGCGAATGGAGTGGGCCCCGTCCGTTTCCCGGCCCCGAAGCCTAAATCCCATCGAGCATTGTGTGAGATGCACTTTTGGTAGTAGCTTGCAGCACCCAAACAAGACTGCTCACAATGACGATGCGCAAAGCAATTGTCCAAATGCACTGATTTGAGGGCTTTGGAAATACCGCTACCCCCACGGAACTCAATTATCAACGCTCAGTGGAGAGTATGGGATCGCGGTGCAGAGCATGTATTTCTGTCCGTGGTGATCACACACCCTATAGGATCCGTGTAACTTCTTTTGTAGTACCAGGATAAATCGTGAAGACTTATGTGTAATCGACATGGTTGAATAAAAATGTCATAACAATTCGTCTTATTCCGAGTTTCTGTCAGTTGCTTTCTGTGCAATATCGTTAAGGTTCTCTCTTGATATGATATGAATTTCATCGAGCTATGTTGTCTGGCAGAGGCACAGTGATCGAAAGTTGCTTTCGTCCCTAAGTTTTGCACACCAATGATATTAGGTCATCCCATTCAAGACGCGTGCCCGCTGCGTTTTTATGAATGAAACAGCAGGAGAATAAATAGAAAAGTGATATTCTCAGCTTTAGGATGAGTAAATCCCTCCTTCACCAATGACCCGCTCCCAGTGCCCCGAGGGCCTTTGGACCTCTGGTACCTTCGATTTTTCAATAAGTGTGGGTAAATTGCTGTTGTTGCCAATTTCGGCAAATGACAAAACATTGTAGCGTCTGCCCCTGCCCGTTGAAGAGTACTCTCAACTGAATAGAACAGTTTGTACATCAGACATGGCTTTATGACGGGCGAATGGGGCGATTGAACCCAGGTCTCAGTATTGTTTGTGTCCCAGCACTGATCTACAATACAGTTACTCGGGGTCTGGTACTATGACGAGCAACGGTGGCCTTCTTGTAGTTGTGTGGTAGCATCCATTTGTCGATCTGAATGCCGAGGAATATGCACCGACAGTGACGGATTTGTTCTCTGTATAGAGCCGCTTGAAAGCCACAGTGTGGGAATCCTTTGCTATGATGATCATCCACTTGCGCCCACGTAACTCTTCATGGTAGAACTCGGGCTTCGGTGGGCTGATCTGGACATTCATACAAGCAAATTGACTGAATTGTGAGTTTCGGCTCGAGGTCCGAGACCACCCATATTTCATCTAAGGCCTGGGTGCGTTTTCACAGTTGTGAGTGACATCTCATGCTGAGAACATTACTGCTAGAGGTATAGAATCGGTACTGCGTTCGTGCTTCTATAAGAAAAATTAGGTACCCATGTAAAATTTTAGATACCCTCTCGACCATCCTCAGTTTATCGGACATAACTCGGGCAGCAGTTGCAGCTGGGATGTCAGACTCGCGGGGAAGCTCGACAAGGGTCCAGGCTCTGTGATCAGATATTCAGTGCCTGACTTCATCCACCCTTTTTTCTTGTGCAGGATGAATAATTATGGACCATAATAACGATAAAAAAATTTTTTTCCTTTCTTCCCTTGTACGGGCTTCTGAACCAAAATTTCCAACGAGTATTATGAGAACAAAGCGCAGGCCCTCACACCAGCGAAGGTACAAAATATGGGGTCCGGCGCAGGTCAAATTTGAGCTGCGCACTTTCCTCTTATGACGTCTGATTTGAAAAACCGGCGCCGATTTTCACCACTCGGGCTTCTTTTCAATTTCTCGAGAACTTCTTCTGGGGCTAGGTTCGCAAAATTTCACAGATACACAGGCTTAAGGGTACGTACTCCAACTTATAGTAGCCCGCTGCTCTATCCCCTTTGCTTTTCTGCCATTCCTCTATATGTAGCGGCACGTTTGAATGGAATGACCTAATATTTGTCGTACGAGGAACGATTCGAGGAGTTCTGAGGTTCTGGTCCTGTCATGTTTTCATGGAGATTTCTCGTTGTAAAGGCTTCAGTGGTACTGACTCTCCTTACACATTGGTCCTATCGGTCTGTGGGTCAGTTACAGTTCTCAGCCTCATTGCTAGTGTGAACTTCCATCACCATCCAAAAATAATGCCGCGACCACAGCAGCACTACGGTTTTCAATCAACTAGGGAAAGTTTTCAAAAACAGGCTTAGCAGCTGAAAATCGAGAGTTTCAGCGAGAACCAAACCTCAGGTACTTACCTACTCACTTCCAGTAAACGTGTAATAATGATAGATTGCATTAGTGATGATCGATCACTTTTTTATGTGCTCCTCCCCCATCCCCCCTGCATTCAAAATGGAAGGTGTGCCACTGCGGTTGAGGCTACTTGGGAGAGGAACTTCCGAGTGCGTGGCTTCGATAGTGCCTTAGCCATTCTCTTCCACCGTTCCTCTAAAAGCAATGCCATATATGAAGGGCACTTCGTCGTCACAGCTCAACTTATGAGTGGAGCTCTCAACTAGCACAAACTCTTCCAAACCTATCTGTAACGATTTTGCAAAGCTTCTTCTTCTTCTTGTAGTATAGTAGAGGTCCCGTAGCAGAACTTCTTCTTGAATAGAACTATTTCCCGTCATAAATCTCTGAAGGCATCTTCCTTCGGGCAGGTGCAGCCAAGCGCAGTCACCGAAACGAGCATGATTTGATCCTCCATCTTCGGCATCCTTTGGCTATTTGAGCTAATCTTTTCTCGGCATGTGTACCAGGTACCATCCCCAATCTCACCACCTTCTGAGTGTTCCATATTCCTCGATGTAGTGACCAGGGAGGTTCCACTTACTGAACTTGATAATTTCAAGTTTGAAAGCAGATGTGTACGACTTACGGCGTCCCATTTATTGCGAGTACGCTCTACAATCGCTTTGCCGAACGAGCTTGTTCAATGGTGAATTGATCTGCCACGCTTTAGGGCTCTATCTCTCGAAACTTGCACCTACCTCAACTCTTTACTTCCTTTATTGCATCTACCTTGTGCCTTTCAACTGACAAAATTCATTCACCTTCTATTCTTGTGTAATGTTGAAAAGATGGCAGTCGATAGACGGCATGGCAACACTGCTAGAATCTCTAAAGGCTGTAGTTCGACGACTGTTATTACAGTAGGGTGCAGCATCGTTGTGAATTGGCGGTTCAGTACGGCCCACCCTGAAACTCTCTCATCTTCTGATACGATCCCCTTCCCTATCCTACCTACGATATTCTTAAGTTTCTCCAAGCTCCTAACACATCCTAAGAAACTGGCAGTTTTTCCGTAAACAAGCTTTCTCGAGCGAGAGTGGTGTGAAGATTAGAACGTCACAAACAACTACTCATTTCAACTACCAGAAGTGGTTTCTGTATGGTAGCTCTAAGAAGCCAGAAACAACGACGGGGCTCTCAGTAACTGTGCCAAAAGCCTGGAACAACAATAGCTGATTGGTGAGTAACTGTGAAGTGCTGCTCCAATTACAAAGGTGGGCAAAATGCATCGCCTCAAGGGTGATTCAAACACGGTCCCAATTTTTTGTTACTTTTCATCATTGATTTGTGTTGATTTGTTGAATGGATTGCTGTAAACCGTAAGGGACAAAATATTGTTAGACGTCGGCCTCACTGGATCAGCGCCCAGCAATCCTTCAGGTGCACGCTACATATACCACTTCTATTGAGAACCTTGGAGGCGTGCTAGCAACTATGTTACAATGGGGCTTTCATGCCTATAGAGCAGTGCTTTGATCGTCCTAGAATCTGGTTTGTTAGCCATCCTGTAGGAGTGCAGAACTTGTTCGAAGGCACATTTTACGATTGTGAGAAAAAGCGGAAAGAACCTGTCGAAAGCCTTGAAGGCAGTCCTCGCGCACGATAATTCGTAAGCATCCCCCCTTACAGGTAGCCTGATTCTTCGTCTCTAAGTGTGTCCCTTTTCTGGGGGTTTCACAGAAGGCTGTGTAGCATAAGTGGGAGTTCTGACGCACACCTAGCTGCCTCGCCCATCAAAACTCGACGGTTGTTTTCTGTCATGGGTTCATTTTTACACCGTGTTTTTCGTATTTTTCCCTGCTGAGGGGCATTTGAATTGGATGACGCTAGGAAACGATTAGTGAGCCGGGGGCGGCAGGACATCCCTTTTCTGGTAAGAAAAAACGAGCAGTTCTGGACAACTCGTCCAAAGAGGCTGCCAGATCCTGACATAGACGAGTGATTTTTTTCTTGGTTTTTCTTTCTCTGTGGAGTCATTTAGCGACTGTAGGTTGCATAGTTTGTAACACTGCAATTTGTAAGGGGCGGCGAGCGCAGCGCGGCACGAGCTCGCGTCCGGCTGCCTTGCTCTACCAATGGTGATCGAGCAATGATCGATGTAGGAAGGAATCAGCCACTGGTGGGAAGGCCGCAGGTGGGAATCGCTGATTGCGACCCGACTGGTAGTGGTAATTCAAAGTGTAATTAGCGCCGCTACATACAGTCATGTGGTTTGTCTCTAAACAGAGCTTGTTCATTTGTACTGAGATAAGGCTCCTGTCCTAGAAGGGGAAGGCTCGCTCCGACCCTATACGCTCTTGAAGCTTAACTGCTCCCTTGTTATTCATAGTATCTTTCCCCTATACAGCGCTTTGATTCTTATGAGTGATCGTCAAGCGTGCTTTCAATCTGATGTCATTGGGTTTTGATTCATGCCGTGTATCGGGCTACAACCTCTCCTGCGCCGCCACGTCCTAATAGAAGACCACGACTGACAACGAGCGAATAAGAGTAAGCAAAGGCATCAGAGGCGGTATACATTAGAAGGCAGCCGTAATATTCGATAACGATCTCTTGTGGCTCAACTGGACGTTCCGAAGTCACGTGTTCTGTGCTGGTTTCTAGATCCACTATACTCACCGAGTGTTTTAAGAGTTTCGGTGCATCGTCTTTCAAGAAATTATGGCAAAGGAATTAGCAGTGGCAGCTGAGGAGCTAGTCGAAGATACTACGGTGATAGATGGCTACAAAATAGGCTATTGCAAGTACGGTGACGGTCCAAATCTTGTGCTATGTATTTGTGGAGCCGTCGGTGAGTCGCTTTTCACAGACTACACTTGTAAAGGTTATTTCGGTGAGCATGCTATAAAGTCTTTTAAGGCTGTTATAAAAAAGATTGGCCGCTTTCCATTCTGCGACACTTCAATAAATCTCTAGTCACAATCGTATGCATCGATCCGCCAGGTTACGGTGTTTCACGTCCTCCTGAACGTATTCAAGAAATTAATCGATGTAAAAAAGATGCTGTATTCTGTCTGAAATTAATGGAGGTAATCCGCCTGTTTACAGTGAACGGCAGTTAAAGAAGACCTTCAAGTTTTCTTTTCAGAACCTTCAACTCACACCATTTACAGTTATAGGATGGTCAGAGGGAGGACGAACAGCCATTCATGTCGCCGCTCAAGGGGGTCCGAAAAAGGTCTGTTTGCAGATTTTAGTCCAGTTGTTGTGAGGAGCAGATTCTACAACTATCAGAAATAGTAAGAAATCACAGAACGCTCTAAGAAGCATGAAAAGAGAACAAACAAGCTATTTTAGCATGACTTTCAAGACTGTGTAGTCATTTTAGCGCTACTTAGTGCAAGCTGGCCTATCAAAATATAAAAATACAAGATCAAGAATATCATGAAAGTTCCCGCAAGAGAAGGAAGTTTGGAGCAGCTAGCGTCATCAATTTAAGCACAATCCTACCCGCTATAGACATTGAGGCATGCTAGCAGGACGGGGGGTGAGTTTGAAGCGGCACCAGCCCATTTTCCACCGACTGTTGTCGCTTGTTGGCTTCAACATTAGTGAGGAACGGGCTATCGTCGCTACTCACACGTTCCATCGTCGACAGCAGAAACGGCTGTATGTCTCATTGCAGGTAATCCCCATCGAGTGATTGGCCCCTCCAAGTGGGCTGAAGCTCAAGGTGAGGGTAAGCAAAAGCAAACAGTGCAGAAGAGTTCCTAGACGTGGTTATATCTTTCTCATTGTATTTCGCACCTCTGATTCTAATTGACTTTGAAACATCTATCATTTGGCTACATCGCACATAGACAAAGTGTGGGGGAGAAGCATGAGTCCTTCAGTGAATAATTTCCACTGACTAGGCGGTTAATGCTTATTGACTGTATTGGATACTGATGGTATTGCTCTCTGGAAGACGGAAAGATCAATGAGTTCAGGATATCTTTTTTAACCTGGGTATTGCAGTGGTAGTGAATATTTCTCAGGAAAGACATCGATTTTCTGTGTCCAGGCTAGCCTTTTTATAAGGTTCTTTCCCGCGTGATCTCGGGAATTCGGCCATCATCGATAACGTGATGGCATCTCGAATGACGATCACCCTATCATCCCATATATATAATTCCCTTCGTCACTCCATATATTATAATTCGCTTCGTCTGTTTGTTTGTTTGTTTGTTTGTAAGTTTGTCTGTCCGGAAATTCGGTTCGACCTGAAGAACGACTTGGAGAGGTCGGGTCAAGGTGGGGATGGGTAGGGCATGGGACAAGAAATAAAAAGCACACTTGACCTATGGGAAGCCCGCCCACAGTGGGCGGGGCACTTGCCGGAATTTGGGGTTCATAATGTTCACAGAAATGTTCATAATTCGCTTCCGGAGCAGCTCAAAGATGGGGAAAAGTGGAATGAGGTTACAAGGAGTTGCCAGACTAACTGTGGGAGACACATCCAAAATGGGCGGGGCGTACTCAAGGTGGGCGGCACTTCTCACAAAACTCAGTAACCCGCTTCGCAAGGGTGTTTAAAAGTCGCAAAAAACTCAGTGTAGAATATAAATATCCAGCAAATACAGGGCACGCTCAAAGTGTTGAGACCCACCCACAGTGAGCAGAGCTTGCCCTAATCGCAGGATACTCATTTTAAAAGTTTGTAGCTCAGTTCCAGAACACTCCAGAAACCGGAAAAAAGAGGATCAAGGTCAGCGAGGGCTGGGCCGATTGAGGATTGTGGGGCACAAATTGTGGGCGGGGCCTGCTCCGAGGTGGGCGGAGTCGGATGAAAAATCTGTAAAATAGTTTCAGAGCACTTCAAAGACCGGAACAAATTGAGTTGGTCGCCCATTGAGAAATGTGGGGCATAAATGTTGTGGACGGGGCCAGCCCGAGGTGGGCGGAGCCAGACAAAAAAATCTGCAAAACGGTTTCAGAGCGGTCCAGACACCGTCAACATGTAAGCAGAGATGTGCAGGACCTCAACTGTTGGATATATGGCAAGAGTTGAGTGTGTCTGTGGTGTGTTGTAACCCGCCAGTGGGCGGAGCGCACGACGTACTTACTCTTACTGAGTTTTAGCGCGTATTCTGCCATACTCTTAACCACCGGTCGTCATAGGTATTAGATTCCAGTCGGCTCGGCGGCTGATGCCAGCGCTCCTCCTCCTGTGATACGGCCCAAGTTGGCCGGACGGGCACGGCTTCGCCACACATCCGTTCCCCAGCCTGTGCCCATAATCGACGCACTTTAGTACCACTCCATACTCAGTAATAGTCAAAATAGCAGGGATGATGTATTTGTCGAGAAGCTTCAACCATGAGTACAGAACAAAAGCCTGATATCAGTCAGTTAGAATTATGTGTAAGAAGGTTCTCGCGGCGAGACCGCACCCGCCCGGCGCAGCCGGCGAGCCGACTGGTTATTCCATATTGAAGGAGTTGGTCAAACAATACTGAAGATTAATGCTGTTGAATAGTTCTCGAATAAACTTTACCATATTGAAAGCAACGTTTTCGCACAACAAGCACAGAAAACATGCACTTCGAGGTGAAGGCTGCGTACTCAGGTGCGCCCCACACCTCACAAGTCAGGGCAATATTGTGTAGCAAGGTGTGGCTAATTCTCGGATGTTTTCAAGTTCAGGTCCACAAAATGGTCGTGCTCGCATCCAGTTCACGTGTTTCCAAACAAGGAGCAGAAATATTCTTCGGTGAGTTTCTTTCCTATTCGAACACCTATAGAGGTAAAACGGACAGCCGATTGCAGTTCAAAAATGAAAAGATGTTGTCTTTTGCCCTCTAGGTATGCGCAACACAGACCATTGGATGCCAGCTGCACGAGCGCCATATCTTGCTCACTACTCAGAGGATTACCTCCGAACGCAATGGGCAGCACTTTCTGAAGTAGTTTTACAGTACGTTTCCTCTCGATAACCTTAGTACTTCTTTAGATGTCATGACTATACTTGATATTGAGAGCACCTAACGGTCGACTCTATGCCGAGCTAACTTAACATCCTTTCGGGAGTTATCAACATTAGAGAATTTGTTGTCCTACACAATGACATGTGCAGTCAGCTGATGTGCTCCCTATCGTGCTGTGGCAAATTATTGACCCATGGGTACTTCAATATTCACGTTCGGTTGCATTTTTGTATAATTGGTATAATCTTGTAATTTGAAATAAGCTGTCTTTTATGTCTTTATGGTACCCATTACGCCTAGAGGGGCTATGAAGACCAGATCCCTCAGATGTTTACACTCCGGAAAGTGGGACCCTATTCATGCATGCACTACAGCGCTTTTCAAAAGCGCAACGAGTGCTTTGGTGTACACCCTTCTCTTGGAAAAGGTCTTAATGTTCTGTTCGGCCTCTCTGTTCTAGTCGGCCAAATAGAACCCCATTCGCGGACTGCGCGCCACACGGTTGAACATTGCGCTGCCGCAGCTCTGTAGCGGTAACTGTATTATTTGCTTTCATGGGATTCACAGTAACAAAAGAAGTCTCCGCAACGTAAGGAATATACGAGATGCAGCCTCCACTGCTGTGTCTTGCGCTTTCTCTCTCTGAAGCTTCGAGAGGAAAGATCGTAGTTAAGACTAGAGGAGAGTTTCAAGACATTTTCAACCTAAAGACACCACAGGTTCGAGAGTGGTGGGCTGTGCGACTCGTATCTAACGACAAGACGGCAAAAATACGAAAGTGATGAAAATCCAGAAGAAATCCGTCGGAACTTCTTCACATAATACCTCATGTTCAACGCGCCTGTTCCAGCTCTTTCTCGTTATCACCTCACTCTCACCATTTTTCCTGTCCTCAGGTATTTTTGGCGCTGCACCTCTTTGAGATGAGCGTAGCTAGAAGAAAACTATTTATGCTCCTACGAGATGGAGGTGAAGTGGAGGTGTCACTTCTATTCGGCATGAGGAGCGTGTTCTGTCGCAGTCGCGATAGCGGCTGCGTACCTATATACAATTGGGGAGTCAGGCGGAGAGGTAAGAAGTGTACCGACGTTGTCTTACCGTACAGCAGACCGTACGCGCTCTTTTATGCACAGTTTGCCTGCACCTCTCAGTAAAACGACAGCTGTCCACTGCCACTGTACTCACAATTAAGCCTTGCATATGCCGTTTTCCATAGGTCTCGAATAAGCTCATCAACCGCAGTCCAGTGTGGAATCACGTCTGTGTTTGACTCGTTACCAACAAAGCCATCCATCCATCGCTGCTGATTGAAAGAATTAGCTTGGGAAGATAGAAGCAATGAAGCAATCATTGCTAGTTCCCAGATACTGTTCTTTAGGGAAAATGACATTTGAAAGGCCACTAATTTTTCACATAAATAAAAGTGCGCAGATGAGTAGGTAGATGTGATCGAGGAATTGAATGAAGTTGACTTTTTCAGAGTGTATGAGTGTTGCGGAGGTCGTTTTCCATGTGACTATGTGCTGCCCAACATAACAGTGCCAACTTTGATCATGAATGGAGGACAAGATCGTTTCTGTGGAGATCCAAAGGCGTGCTTTCTTTCTGTTCTAAAGAATGTCAGGTGAGCTGGATTGATGTAGAAGCTTCAGTTGGTGAAATTGCTCAATGCAAAAGATTGAACGTAACTCACATTTTGGTCCTGCGATTTGAACACTTTCGTTGCGCTTTACACTTCTAGTGACAGCAGTACTCTTTTATAACAGGGTTTAAGGACAGATCTTTGATCGCCTTTCATGGGCAATGGAATTCAGCGTTGAGTAACAAGAATGCTGAAAAACGCGGAAGTGCTGAAAGAAGCAGAAAACCGTTCTGAATAAGACATTGGTGCTAAGAAAAATAAGACACCAGGAAGGTGTGTAAGAGAGTATAAGAACAGAAAAAAGAACTGATTCTAAGCCTAGAAAAAGGTGCTTCCATATCTGCTGTACGGCCCTATGAACCAAGTCACGGGTTTCTTGAACATGCGCACTCCTACTCGCCACGATACTGTGACAAATGACCATTGAAGAAGGGTTCCGGATCCCAACCGCGATGTGGGTGGAACCCTTCCTGGTCAGCAGCTCGCACATGACGAATACATTCCCTTTTCGAAAATTCCTTTCGCGCACTTTGACAACACTTTGGCGGGTTTGAATTTGCCATGAGTGTTCATGTTCTATACAAATCACTTTTCCAGTCGTTGACGTTTCTACGATTGTCTATTCAGTTCAGAGTTACCTTTGTAGATAAGCAATTATATGGCGTTCTTTTCATAACCAGCCCGTCATATTCGCAGTTGGGTCGCTTAGTGTCTACACAGTGTTTGAATTTTCAGAATTTTTCGAAAGTTCGCTGGAAACCGAACGGAAACTAAGGTGGTGACAGCGCCAGTAATTATCATATGCATGATAGGGCTATGAATTAAGTGGTTGCAATGAAAATACCTTTTGGCATCGCGCAGGAACTGTAATCGCTGGTTAACACCGGGAACATTGAGCACAAGGGTATGCCCACAGTCGACTTTTTTCAGTATCAAGACAGAAATCTCAATTGAACTGTAAACTTGTCTGGAATGGTGTTTTGGCCCCGTAATTATGAATTTCCCCGTTACGGAATTTCCTTCTGTCTGTTCTACGAGTGACACTCAAATCCATTCTTATATCACAGTCACATACACTTAGAGCAGTTTCTCAAAAGGTCACAATTACGATGTTTCATGCAAAACAAATGTGTAAAACAAACATTCTGGCCAAAACTAAAGCGTTAGGGAGAATGATGGGTTTCTAGTATAAAATCAGACGTACCGTACCTGCAATCGATTCGCCTAGCTCAGAGCTCCTCCCCTACGTGGCAAAAATAGTCGCCTCTTTAGTGATGACACCAGTCTTGCCCAAAATTCTCAGAATAGCTCCATCCTATCAGTAATGACGGACTAACTTTCTTTACCATGAGGAGATGTTTTTGATGCTGGAATAGCCATCCTAAAATCTAAGGAAGGATCTATCAGGAACTCGAACCTTCAATCTTCTAAACATTGGAGCAGCTGCACAACAGTTGGTTTGGTGTATTAGGCCATAATATTGCAGGTGAGTTCGTGATAACTGTCCGCGGTCGCATCACTCAGCATGCTTGTCATTTTTACAGATTACTGCGAGCTACGGAATGAGGCCCAGTTCTCCCTGAAACTGATTTAATTGCAGTCAGTTCGGCTGGTCTTGGAAGGCATGGAATGAAGCCAGTCACGGACTTTCCTAACATTGATGTTTTCTTTCTGAAATGATCTCCAAATAATAACTATTGGCACAAATGTAGCCGGAGGTTCATTCCACGCCTCCTGACATTACGCCGAGAGATTGCGGCGATATCAACCAAATATCTGCTGGAATTTAGCTCACATCTTTTACAATCAATTCTCCCCACAAAAGCTGAATGGCTTCCTATGATCTCTTGCGGTGATCAGGAAATCGCAGAAGGAGGCGATGCGATCCAGGAGAGGTCGCTCCGCCGTTGGTCAAGAAGACCAGGGAACTGCGATGAAAGGACAGCCCAGTCGTTCAGAAACGTTCGATACTCCTCATCTTAGTTCCGACCGAAACTTCCCACGGCTGTCTCCGCCGTTGTAGCCGGCATGATTACCTTCCATCGTTGCTGACAATGCCGTGTCCCAACTAGGTGCCCACCAGGACGTTAACGTCGACGCCGCAACGCTTCTTCACAAATTTGTTTTTTTCTTTATTATCTTCTTGCTATCTCCTAATCCCAATTTTCGTTTATACTGTTGTACTTTCAGTAGACTTCTGGGATATCAGATCATACCTCATACCAAACTCTTTCATTATTCTCAAACTCTCAGCCCTCTTTCTGAAGAGATAAAATTCAACATAAAACATTACCTCCTTTTATCCAATTTGTATTAAAGTTCTATTTTTACAGTGGTTTTATGCAGAACAGTATTCCCAATTTCCATTTTGAGGTTCATTTCAGGTTGGAAGTGCATGCTCAGGGTGGTCACGACTTCTATTTGAAATATCCAAAATGGTTTACAGATACGGTACAGAAGTTTTTGAAGGAGTGAATAAGTGCGCCTAACTAATGTATTTATAATTTACTGAATCATTTCGTGATCATTTGAATTCAATTCATTGTTGGCTTTCGTTTGATGATTGATTTTATTTGTCAGGAGACTTTGTTGTGTATTTCACAAGAGCTTCGGTCTTGTATTTATGTTGTAATTCACCGTGACAGCAATATATAAAAATTTTGGGTTATTCACAAATTTTACCATTCGGAATTCTGATGCAGAACCTTCAAAGCGGGATGGATTTTGTAGACGGTTTAGCTGCTCGAATAACATCCTGTCAGTAGCTATGTCGTGAAAGTGGGCCCAGAACAACACGTCCCTCGTTCCAACCTTCATTGCCTCTAGAAAGTCTCCGACAGCGTAGAAACATCACAGCGCCAGTCAAGCAAGGAGTGGAAGAGTGTTATGTAAGAACAGTTGCCGGGTCGCTGATGCAGTTGGGCGGCGCCAGGTCTCAGGGCCCTCTCACTGGTTCCCTGGAGAAGCGCCTAAGACAAGGCGAACTATCCCCCGAAGCTCTTCGCCACAACACTGGTGTGGATCATGAAGGTGCTGGATCGAAGAGGAAAGAGTTCGTGTGCATTATCGATACCTTTCAGACCTGCATTTCGCAGAGGACATTATCCATTTTTTCGGAGCAGTATCAGTGAAGCAGAGGCGATGATCGCTTAATTTAACAAAGCCAGCATTTAGGCGGGTTACGGATCAACGGAGCGAAGACACAATTTAGAAACGCTCAAGAGCGCGGGCCGAATAGGAATCTGTAGTACATTAATCAGAGAAGTGTCATTTTACACATATCTTGACCCAGGGATTCTGGTCTATTCAATTCCACAGTTCCGCTTGTGCCCTGCCACGCGGCTGAGATGGGTGGACAACGACCACGTCAAGACAGTTTACTGTGACATACCGAGGGCTCACGTTGTCTTCTATGTTTTCTACGCTACATGCAATATCGAGCTGGACTCCGCAACACCGACCTGATATTGAACAGCAGTTCTACTTGCGAAATCCTGTAGAATACCTAGCGAAGCCAGCACTATGATGGGTTAGTCATATTAACAGGAGAAGTTGTGATGACAGAAGGACAAAGGGAACGATGGAGTCGGCTCCCGTAAAAGCTTTACGGTCTAGGGGGGCGATCTGCACCTATGGGAAGGTAGCCTTGCTGATCACTATGCAGCTGCGCACAAGGTGGAAAACCCCACGTTGTCGTCAATGCAGGCCTCTGAGGATGGCGATCGTGAAAGTTAGAAACAAATGGCTCTCTGCTGGAGGTCGCACGTAGGTGAGGACGAGCCGTACAAGTGATTAGGAATTTCAATGGTCTTGAAGAAAGTGCTCTCGTAATTAATTTAAAACCAATTTCACTTTTTACTGTTCACGCAGGACCTTATTTCTGGCTTGGCGTAAACACGAGAAGCACTGACAAGAAAGTGAAATGCCTGAAAACGTCTAGTATTCCCCTAGTTAGCATTGTGCCTTTCGTTCCGTATGGAACACTATATTTATCTGCCCTAGTGTTTCTCAGTCCTACCGTCTTGAATTCAAGAATTAAACACTGTCTCATCGGTTTCGCAGTCTATAGGAGGTTGAGCAGCGTGATTAGAATCCAGCAGAGAATCCCGTACAACACAGAAGAAACCAATGAAGAAAAATTGCCTTTCATGCGTCAACCAGTCAGTGGGATCTGCAATGATGGGGGAGGTGCTCGTAATGGCGAACAATTCATAGCTCGTAATGTCCATTTGTCATTAACGAGCACTCGTTCCAATTGTTCGTTGCAGGATTCTTCAGAATGTCCAGAACGCCTCTATCGTTTCATATGTCGCGTAGTGGGTCTCCTCCGTTAATCCTATGCAGTTTATCTCAGAGTTTTTCCCATTATGGGGCTCAATTTAGGCTCTTCCGGTGCTTAGTCAGACAGTAGTTTGTTTCTTGTGTTGTGTAGCGAGCAATATTCCTGTCTTTGCTATACATGGGTGTGAATACATGTGTGCATCTGCCTGATGGGCTTCTATCTGTTATGCCTGATAGTCAGCAATCAGCCGGCTTTCCACGCAGACAAGAATAGTTAATCGTGTCAAGGCACATCGTGAGTCCCAATCGCTACAAATCAAGGTTAGCGCATGACTGCAGGTCATTCTGCAGCTGCAGTAAAGCTCTTGTGAGTGCGGGTTGGGCAGAATTTCTTCAACTCCGAATATTCGTTCAACTGGCTGGAGTGAACTAGGCGCAGGATGAAATAATGCGAGGCCGTGAACATGAAACCGAGAATACAGAAGAAAGCTTGATGTCGAAATGGTTAGGTAATTGATTGGTCAACTTTAAAACCTCGGGATAGCTCACGGATCGCTAGAGAATCGTCTACATTTGTTTCTGGTAACCAGTAACAAAATCTCAAGCGGCTTGTGAGAGAGTTTAGAACGTCCTGGATGTCTCTGATAAACCTGCTCCCGACCCTAAGTGATCAAAGATTTGGTTGAGAGGGATGACATTTCGTCA